GGACCCCGTGGAAGACGAAGATGTCCCCAGGCAGGAGCTCCGGCTCTTCGGCCGCAGCAGCAGCCGCAGCGGCAGCCACAGACTCGGAATCCGAGTGGTCGGACTCCTCGCCAGCGGCTTGCTCAGCCTTGCTGGCGCGGCGCCGGCGCTTGCGGCTGGCCTTGCGCTTGATCTCGGCCTCGGATCGCAGGCGGAAAATGTGCGCCGCCCGGCCGCCGCCCTGGACCACAAGGAAGTTCCCCTTGGGCCCGGCGAAGGACACCGAAAGGACACGATCCGTGGTCGGCCGCGGGAGGACGCCCCAGAGGGACACCGCCTGCGGGACACCGCCGACGGCCGCCCCGGCCGAAGTGGTCGTGGCACCAGCAGCGGCAGTGGACGTCTCCAGCGAGTGGGTGGTGACTTGCGCCTCGAGGGCCTCGGCGGAGACATGGTACACACGGACCTCGCCGCTGGCGGAGCCGGTAACCAGGTACCGCTCATCCGGGCTGAGGGACATCGACAGGACGCTGCTGTTGTGCCCGACAACCGTCTCCATGCAATGCTGCGTCTGCAGATCCCACAGCTTGACCAGGTTGTCGGCCGAGCTGCTGACAATGTGCCGCGCCTGGTTGGCAAACACAAGCCCGGTAATGGAGTCCTTGTGGCCGCGGAGGCTATCGAGGTGACAAACAGGGGGAGAGGGGGGGTCAGTGAAGGGCGGGGAGGGAGAGGGAGAGAGGGAGAGGGAGAGAGGGAGGAGACACAAGGAGAGCTATATGGTGGTCCATGGCAGGGTAGTGCGACAAAAGGAGGGGAAGAAAGAGAGGGGAAGGTACCGGAAGAGACCGGTCTCCTCGACGCAGTCCCAGACAACAATGGCACAGTCGCGGCTGCCACTGGCCAGACGGACGCCAGCCGCGTCAAAGCAGAAAGCGGTCACGGCCGACCGGTGCCCACTGAGCACCACGCGCAGGGTGAGTGTGCGCGTGTCGAACAGGCGCACCGCGCCATCGGCATAGCCCACAGCCAGAAGATGGGCCTGGGGGGAGACGGCGAGGCTGGTGACCATGTGCGAGCCACCCTCAAGACGGGCGGCCTAAACCCAGGGGGGGG